TGCATTTATAAAGTGACAAAATATTAGTATAAACACGCATAATTTAAACAATTAATACATTTAACATATAGTACAAGCCTGTGAGATCAGTTTCCATTTGTTTTTTTATTTTCAAATGGTGTTTTACACGAATAAATTAATTTCAAAGAACGCTTTGAAAAAATTGCAAACTTAGCGCTGGTGCTGTCGGATGCAACAGCTGACTTTACAGCTGTTATGCTAACATATGCTGTTAAGTATTAACATTTTGAGTATGAGGCATAACAGTTTGATGTTCTGTTAATGCATTCCCATTTTTTTTTTTTTAATTAGAGCACTTTTAAAAAATGACTAAATGCCACATAAAGTGGTCAAAAACCCCATAGTGCACTGCTGGCCCCTTCAAAAACATTCCCCTGACTGAGTTAGCAATTTTAAGTGGCCATCCGCTGGTGTCTGTTGCTGTTTTCACTACAAAACTCATATGTCTCGGTTCACCCCGCATACCCCTTTTCCATTTAAAACACATATCTTTGCATGCATTTTGTCTCGCCCGGCGGAAATTTGTTTGCACCGAAGTGATTTCTGGGTTTGGGGGATTGGAAAGGAAATGGAACCGTGTTTCACAGCCATCAGCAATCTGCAATCCCCAGGCAGCAGAGACAGAACGGCTAACACGGCCTAATGAAATTTCCATATGTGAGCCAATTTGCAGTCTTTCGTTCAAAAATTAATTGAGATTCAAAAGTACGCTTGCAATCGACAAAATGAAAGACTATTTGGCTTATGCTTCAGCAGTGGGGAAATTAAGTGAGCCCTCTTAGACGCTCAATCGAACAAATCGAATAATATATTTGAAGGCATGCGGCTTGTTGTGATATATGTAAATATAAAATGTTTATATATTTATTTTTGTGATTGAAATAATTGGAAATAATTAGAAACTCTAGAAAAAGTTGAGCTATTATTTAAAGCGTCAAATTGCTTAGCTAAAACATAAACTTAATGGGATTTTAAATGTGAGTAAAATCAGTTTTCAGCTTATAAAAATAAATGCATATAACCGATATTGACCAAATATCTTGGTAGTGACGCAATAGCTTCTATACCCAAAGATCTGACAATATAAGAAAGCCCAAACGACCCAATATTTTCAAGACACCCATAGTTTTCAGCAGGACTCACCTTTCTCCTGCAATTGCTGTCGTTTTACGTCGCCTTTGAGCACTTCCGCCGTGTGAACCAGTTCGTTGAGCTGCGGCTTTTTCATTTTCAATTCACGCAGAACTTTCTGTGAACGGAAAAGGAGATATGAGACATGGGTATGTGGGTGTGGAAGAGGATGGGTGTGTTTTATTCGGCGCACCTCCTGCTTCTCGATGGCCAGTCGCACTGCATCGCCATCGTCGACGAGCACGCTCTGTATCTTGATCATGTTTTGTTCCCAAGTCAGCCAGTCGGAAATTTGCAGCACCGACTTATCGAAGCTGCCGGCCAACACTCCAGTCCCGCTCGGCTCGTTATTGTATTCTGGAAGAAAGAAAATGGGACAAATTGAAATGGGTTTTATAAAAGGGAATAATAAAGAACGGAGCGTAGGGGAAAACTTCTTGCTAATTAGCGTGTCCTTTTCACAAGACCCACAGGATTGTGTGTCACTGCTGATGATGGGCTACTCATTAAACGGCACCAGCTGCGGTTTTGACTTTTCCTGACTGACCACTGCTTGGTGGTGTACTTATCGGGGTCACTGTAGATGCATATTGAATGCGAGATTTTATATCTCGTCCCTTTTTCATCTGTCTATTTTTCTTTCTTTCTGGTGTTTGGCCCCACTCCCCTTCCCTGACTTTGTTGCACATTTCAGCAAAAGGAAAGTAAATGAAAAACTATTTCAATGAAGCAAAAGTTTCGAGAGTTTTGGTTGATAGATGAACGGTGGAGTAATTTTGAAATTTGAATGACATAAATATTATTAATACTATTCAGTTTACAATAACAGGAAGCAAACAATTTACTGGTACATTTTTTTCTATCTTAATAATATAGAAACCAAAATACTAATTTATTGTTGAATTCCATATCCTGAAACAATTTGATCCACATTTTATCAGATAACCTCTTTAATATTTAGAGATATTAAAGCCACCATGAACATGAGCTGATGTCAAAGCAATGACATCGAATAACAATGAACTGAGTTGAAAGAGCGGAGCACCAAAATAATATTATTTTCACCCCTCGACCAAAGTTCGTTCCCCTTGCATTATTTTCGCAGCTTTCCCCTAACTTTCTTCTATTAAATGGCAATTTTCAATTGCAACCCATTCAAAGCAAACCATGGTGCAAATATTTCAAAACTTGAAAAAGCGAAGGGAAACACTTGAAATGCTTGAGTGAAAAGAGTCGAAAGGAAAATGTAAAGAAAAGCTTAAGTAGGCGCAAAGCAAAGGAAGCGAAAGGAGACCCGGAAAAAGGAGCAGGTGGGAGGAGGCGGAGCTCCTTCTGACAGTTATGAAAGTTTCTGCAGGCCTGAGTTTGCCAATAATCCGTAAAAACAAAACCAAAACAAACTAAACCGAAAAAGAAGGGACACTTTGGCTTTTCTTTTTTTTGCTCTTTCGGATTGTAGTTTTCCCAGTGTCCCTCGCAGGATTAGGCTGGTCTGCAAGGACAGGGGATTTGGGCGACAAATGCCAAGTCCAAGGAGGACAGCTAAAACTGTCCTGGCCACCAACGGGATTCAGGACATGGGACACGGAACGCAGGCCGTGTCAAGTTGAGGCGTCTGAAAGCATTTAGAGTGAGTGAGTGACTGAATGAATGAGAGTTCCAAGCACACAAGAAGCTGTTAAGCAAATATATACACATAGAAAAAGTTAAACGACCCAAATAAATCTAAAAATTTTACCAAATTAATAGTAAAATATATTTTAGGCTCTTTGTAAATGGTAGTTATTTTAGACCACTTATTATTTATATAAACTAATCTGATAATTGTGGGATAAGAATATTTTAAAAGAAAAAAATCCCCTGAAGCTGGATGTAAAAAACTAGCACATAACATTTTTATTATTTTTAAATAAGGAATATGGTTTCATATTACTGTGTATTGTAAAATACTATTTAAAACTTCAGACTAGCTCAAAAACCAAATCGTTTCTTATTTGTGATTAATAGGATACATCATTATTAAAAAGCCAATAAATATTTTTGAGGATTAAATGTCATCATATATAAGTTAAAATAATTATTTTATTTTAAAAACTTTTTAAAAGCTATCAAACATTTTTTCTCTGCATATATTTTCTGTTGGAATGGAATAAAAAAACGGAAACCAGAAAGGAATAATAACATCGCTGACAACCACACACATGGTCGGAAAACACGGTGAAGTAGCAGTGGAAACACGTTAAGTGTAAAATTTCTTTTCACTCATTCTGATGAATGTTCCAGGTAGGCTCCACACACACCCCTTTGGCGGGTTCTTTGTGCTGTGGCATTAACGGGGCTGGTGCAAAATGGTAGAAAATATCATATAAAAAATACAAATAAAACACACAGAAAAGGAAAAGCACTGATAACAGTCCCTCCATTTTTCTTCCCCTTCCACGACCAGTTCTTCCGTTAAAAGTAAACGGGCTCTACCAGGAAAATGTCATAATTCATTAAAGCCAAAGAAAGCGTGAAATTCTGGACTCGTTCTTCCCCATTCTACCTTTCAGTTGTCACTCAACTGAGCCTTGTCTTCCTTTTCCCTTATTTGGAGAAAGTCCAAAAAGGACTTTAAGACAAACACAGTGACAAGTTTGCGGAAAGGAAAGTCCTTTTAAAGTTTTCATTTAAAAATGATGGATGACCTTGATAGATTTAATATTTTGTTTCTGTTTTGGGGAAATCGTTACCATTATTGAAGAAGTATATTGTTATTTACCTACAAATTACCGATTTCAAAGCCATTAAATATTTAAAAAATATTTTTTTTTACTTTGGTTAAAATCTAATCAATTAGTATTTGGTATATCATGTTTACAACAGTGTATAAATTCGTTTTCCTTAAAGTGCACTTTTCGGTTTTATTTAATTATTGGAGTTTGTTATTCCGATTTGTTCAAATAGTTTAAGAAATGATTTTCTTTTGATTTTAAGTGGTAATAACAAAGTATTTTAAATATATTTATTTTATTATGTATTTATGTATTAGTTTTGTTATTCTACACTCATTTTAATTTATTATAAAAAATGGTTTATTATTATTATTGTTTTGATGTTTTTACTTCCACCATAAAGACTTGTAACTTCCTTTCCGCTGAACGATTTATTTTCAAATGTTTCCTTGTTTGTGACCAACAGCTGATTAAAACGGCCAAAAATAAAAGCTACATGGAAGTTAAGGATACGAAAAGCTTCAGCAAAGCTTCCAGCTTTAAATAACCAAACCCAAACTCATTTGGCTTATTGTATTTTATCTAAACAAGAAATAAATTTGAACGCATAAATTAATCTACATTAGACACAGCGTAAGGTCATTGAACTAATTAAAATAAAAAACTAAAAAAAAAATTTAATTTGCCAAATTGATTTGATATAAATGAGATATTGTTTATTTTTAGTTAGAAACATTTATTTTTTGTATTAACTTATAGTCATTTGACCAAATTCTACATGATATCTACATGTTCATCTGTGCGACATCTATCGGAAAATTAAAACATTGCAATTTCAAGTAGCTTTTGTCCACGAGCATTGCAGTAAATTTGTATTATTTGAATCTTTATATGCAAATGAATATATTAGAATATGAAGAATATGAAGATAAAAACGCCTCATTTAATTTGTTTAACAAAACCTTAGAAAATGTAATAGTTTCAAGTTTTTGGACCAAAGTTTAGAATCTTTATAAAATGTATTACTTACAATTTTGTAAGAAATCAGAGGCCAAAATGAAAACAAATCAAGCCTATTTTAAATTACACATCCAAGTCCTTTATTGTTGTTTGTCATTTTTTTCGGAATTTTTTACTAGAAAAAAAACTGACACATACAAACGAAAACATAAAAAAAATATTACTCCCAACTACACAAATAAAAAAATAAAAACAACTCTTTGGTTTAGTGTTAAGCACACTTAATTTATAGAACCCATAAACGATGCCGAAGTTGCATGAACAAAGAAAGTCGAATGAAGAGATTAAAGGAGCTCCCACTCCGACACCAAAGTCTTCGATAGCATCGGGTAAAAAGAAACCATATCACGCATTTAGGAATATAAGCAAGCTGAAATTCACCACCAATGAAACGTTACCAATCTCTGCCCGGGACTATGGACTGATGCGATCCACCAACAAGTCCTCGACTCCATATCCGCGGGCGGAGCAAGGAGTCGATGCTTCTTTGCTGAAGGCTCGTCTTACAATGCGGAAAGATTTCGAGAACAGGCTACAGACAATACACTCCAATCATCCAGATAAGCAGGATACCCCAAGTGCCAGCGATGTAGATTCTCATTCAAACGAGCGTCCCGCAAAGGTGAAGGTAAGTTCGACTACTAAGCATAATAAATATTATATATACTCCAATGACATCCAATCAAAAAATTCACTTGACGTAAGTTTAAATTCTTGGTTTTGAATTTAGCTATGCCTTTTACTAGTATTGAAGAATTAATATGTATCAATAACCCTCACACTTGAGGTTTTTAAATTCAAATTTATTTAATGCAAAATGTAGATTTTTTGCCAAAAAAACCTATAACCTCTATGGGACTTACATTATAGCTATCTTAATTTTCTATCCATGAAAACAAAGCTTGGTACTTATTCAACTTCTTATTTCCTGCAAGTCTTCAGTCACCGTTTTCCGTCGCGAGTCTCTGACCAAGGATAATTACAAGGAGATGCTGTCCCTCGGCACCCCACATCCTATAAAGGGCGTGGCACTGAGTGCCAGGCTGCTGACCAGGCGGCTAACCGACATAAATGATATGCTAAAGCAGCAACCGGAACACAGCCCACAACCGGTAGCAACACAGATGAGAACGAGAAACAGGAAAGTAATTATGTCGTCAGACCCCGAAAGCCGGGACTCGATAATACCTCCCGAAAATCCATCAGACGGAGAGCTGGTCAGTAAAAACATGAGTAGTCGGTTGACCCAAGTCGAATACGATGCCTCTTTTACTTCGATGAGCGGGGATTCCCTGCAGCCGCAGCTAAGTTTCGCAGAGCGACGGAGGTTGTTCAACGAGGGCGAGTTCACCATCGCAAAATACGGCCGGAAAATGAGCGATGTGATGATGGCCTCGACACCGCAGCAACATCAGGTCGTCGACAATAGTTTTCAGTTCGCCAAAAAGGCCAACGATGAGCTCGAGAAGTATATGATCTCGCAGGGCCTGATTAAGACCTCGCATGATCAGGTTACAATGACCCGTCACTTCGGCCGTCCATCCGATGTTATTGAAGCACAGGGGGAAAACGATAATAAGCAGAATTCGAAGAAAAAAAGTTCAGTCAACACTGGACCGCACAAGGAATTCTTGTAACCTAGCTGGCAGGACTGCCGAAGCATCCTAATCATATTGCCCTTCAGCACTCCAACTTGTTGAAGGTGCAAGAGTTCTTTGCGGTGTTGCAGTTAATTCCAGATATTTTGGAAACTTTAATGTGCAAAATTTTGGTCAACTTCTTTCATTCAATATAACTTAAAGCCTTTAACTCTAATTGTCTGAATTATTTGGGGTACAATTAAAGATATAAAGAAAAATATATCAATTAGCGTTTAAAAGACACGACTAGGCTAGATTGCTGCGACTAATAATAGTTTTTGATTAAAAAGTCAAATTTCCAAATAAAAAATCGCTATTTTCTTTTCAACTTCATCAACAAAAACCCATGTAGCTGGCATGCGAAATATTTAACAACATATGTCTGCATCTGTTATGAAAACAAGAAAATGGGACTACAGCATGAGGGAAAGAGCACCCACCTCCCATAGGGTAAGTCAACACCGAAAACATTCACATAAAATGTCAAAAGTGCCATTGACATGGTACATTTGTATGTTGGCTGCCCTTTTTCCCATAAAAATATAAACAAAAAAACGGAAGTAGAGCAAGCTAGAAGGGAAAGGGCAAATAAAGAAGCTCTGTGTTTCCAGTAATTCAAAATATATAGTTTTTTATCATCGAGCGAAATTTTGTATTGAAAAAGATTTTAGCCTCTGAAACTTATTTTGTTAAATGGTGTATCAAAATTTAAATCAAAAAATGTAAATCAATACATAGTTCAAAAAAAAGGGCAAAAAAACAAACCAGAAAATAACTTGTACGTGCTGATTCCAGAGTTTCATCTCTTTATATACATTTTTTCATTTTTTTGTTATAATTATTTGGCCAATGAAAACAGAGAGTATATGAATACAAAAGATTAATAAATTTCAATGATGAAAACATTTTTGTGTAGTACGAAGCACTTCAATTTTAATTCAATTTATAATGGTTAATGAAAACTAAATAAAAAAAATTGGAAAATTCTTTGATACCATTTATCGACAATGGGATAAACAGAATTATTTGTAGTAATTAAATCATACCTGTTATATAAATATTAGGACATAAACTATACATAATTTTGATTTGGGAGGGAAAGGTAAGAAATTCTCGATATGTTTTTAGAACATGCCCTAAAATATAATATGCTTAATCAGTATTAATGCCTTTTACGGTAATTATACTTAAGAGGAAAAACAATTCCGTTATACTTATTAAATTAACACCTAACTAGTCCACGTCTTAAAATTCTTGCAGTTTGCGCAACTACTGTTTAATTGCAGATTACTTAAACTCTTGCAAAATTTCTAAATGGTAGGATAAACACACTTGAATAGCCCTTAGACCTTAAGTTGGGCCACTCAACCAAGTCAACCAAGTCAACTTTGACAACTTGTCTACATTTAAGCAGTCAACTCGAGCGTAAACCAAACAATTGAAGGCAATCCAACTTGCCGACAATCAACAAGAACATTACCAAGCATTCGCTTGGGTTAGCATCCGATCGTTTTAAGCTCAGAAATAAAAACTATTACAAACAATTGAGTGGGCAAGCTTACCCGAACGACAGCTGATGGTGGAGCCAGTGGATGCATCTGCCCGCTCCTTGCCATTTGAAATTCGGGGGCCATTTCTCAGTTCCGTCAACGAGAGCTCAATGGAATCCGCATGAGCTATCAAATTGTTTTTGGTCTGAGGAAGGACAAGGGAATGTGAGAGTTCAATTGAGAAGGAATGGGACTCGAAGTGTGTGGGCAAACCTTTTCAATTTCGTTCATCATGAGAGGCGTGACCTTTGGCATCTGAGCGTTCTTTCCAATAGCGCTGACAATCACCTGCAAATCGTCGTGCCGCTCCTGCAATAAACATGGGTAAATATTTTAAACCAATAGAAGTTCAGTTAACAATGCAACGCCTAAAAAAAACGTAAAAGGTTACAAAAACATACAGCTTTAATCATTGTTGAATTCAAATGCTAATTTCCGTAATAATTTATATTATTTTATACCATGAATTTAACACGAATTTCCTAAATACTTTAATGTTATTCGAATAAGTAAAACAAATTTTAAAATACTTATAGTAACAGTTTTATCCACATATTCCTTTTTCGAAAAATAAGTTTGTTATAGCTTGACGCAAAATTAAATTCGTATAAATTCTTATAAAATTATGAAATATGATTAGAGTAAGGAGTGTTATTTTTAATGGTTTTATCGAAATGTAATTTTTATGGAAAATGGAATGTTCACGTAATCCGATTTAATTTAAATAAGTTAATTAATGAAAGTTCACATTACTGAATCTCGACTGAAAATTGAATCCACTTAAAGGAGAAACATACTGAAGTATTTATAAAATGCATTCGATACTCTTGACGGGCCGAAGGTGAACATTAAATGCCAGGTTTTAAGCGGAAACGGAAGCCGAACAAACCCATACACATACACAGACGAACAAAATGGCCACCGCTTGGGAAAGGAGCAGCCAACGGCGATTGGAATTCAATTTCAACTGCAATCATGCAGGGACTCCCTCTCCGGGAATGAAACAAATGAAGGTGGGCGGCGGGAGTGGGCGTAGGGAGGCGTGGGCGTGGGCGTGGTCGTGGCAGGGAGTGAAAGACTCTACCACCTTTGTGACGGCGTTTGTCAACCAACAAAATTGCATTTATGGTTCGGCAATGCAAACACGATGCAAACTGTTGCCGTTGCAGCTGACTGTCCGGTTTTTGCTGCCGAATTTTCCGTTCGCGCCAAACTGAATTTTCCGCAAATTTACAATCAATCACCGCGTCCACAAAGAAGTTCACACACATCAAAGTATAATAAGATTTTAAATCTCTGCAACCGCTGTCCAAAAGAAACGGTACGCAACTGAAGTGGCCGCAAACAAAATGTGAAGGAAAATAAAAACATAAGCCCTCATTTCGCCGGTAAAGAGAAGTATTTACATGTTTGCCCCTCTTCGAAATAAGTTTTTTCCTTTTCCCCAAAATGATGCGCTCTTTCTGGCTCTGTCCCGCTCAGAAAATACAAAATGTTTTCTATTTTCGTTTTCATTTTTTTCTTTTTTAGAATCGCTGGCATTTGTCGCCATGCTCGCGCTGGTGCCATAAAATCAAACAAAAAATGGAATAAATAAAATATAAAAATAAACAACAAATGATTGCAGTGATTAATGACTTTGTCGTCTAGGGATGGAAGTTGTTGAAAATATTAGATTTATCATATGTGCCGCGAGCACAAAAAGTGCCGTTTTTTACTAGTTGCATAGTAAATGTGTCAGGTCTCGAAATAAAACATTCTCAAAAAGTTGTCTCAACTTTTTGCATTTTAGCCTTGTAAGAAAATTTACAGCAAATCTGTTAATATTTATTGCTAATGTGTAACGTTATTACTTTGATTATAACTACAAAAATCAGCGATTGTGTGTCCTAAACATTTAAGTTCAAAATAAAAATTTCTAAAAACTCAAAAATAAATTAGAAAAAAAAATTGATTTCTAGTCGAAATGACATCTATCATTAAAACTTTTCATGTTCCAATACATCATAAAACTGTGTAGAAATATGTTTATGATTTAATAGAACATGACATGCATCCGTCGTTCAACCCTTCAGGCAGACATCGTCAACTAAATGCATCAGAACGAAAAAGTCTCTTAAAATCTCTCTTACTCCTAAGATCTCTCTTCTGACCCACTAAATACTATGATCAGTTGTGGGGCCCTCACTCTTCACCTCCCAACTGCACACAGATGTGTAACTGTGTCAGTTGCGTTTATTTTTGGGCCTTCTAATGGACCCATTTAGCATTTGTGGCCACTGCTTATATATGCATCGAAATTCTCAAGAGGGCAATTAACTTGCGGCAAAGAAAACAGGCGAATATCGAAGATAGATGTGACGCCTTCAGAAAGATGTCCAAGTGAATGACTAATGGCAGCGATTAAATAAAAATGATTTAATTGTGGTTTCACACAGTTAGTTTAGTTTTAATTTTCGGCCACGGCCAGGTGTTGGCAAATTGAAAGTGGACATTTGCCAGATATGGGTAGCACTTACATTAATATCCTCCATGCGCTTCTCAAGATCACTGCTAGACTTCAGATCGACGGACTTTTCTATCAGAACATTGATGCGACGAAGTCCCTTGGTGACGAGTTCTTCGATATTCACGCATTCCAATGGAGGAGCTGGTGCCCCACTTCCCGATGTCTTAGATCTGGGTGGAAATAATCTCATTAAGTAGAAGGAATGTTTGAGAAATTCTTTAAATTCTATTATACCTGGCTTGCTGTACTTCCCGAAACTGTTCGCGCAATATAATTTGAGAGCGCATTACCAGGCGGGATATGCTTCCCTGTTTTCCATGGGTTTCCAGTACCAAAGAGTCTCCTTGGGATATCAAGGTAGCTGCATCTGGAGCTATCAGCAGCCGGAAATCCTCCCTAAAAGATATTTTTTTGGATTGGATTGCATGAAGTCTTAACTTGATCTCTTTTGTCTTATTGTTGTAAATGCTAAATGTTAAATCGTTACAAAATATAGAAAACACTGACTCAATGGGTTGAACGTTATTCATGTATACTAACTATACTAAAAGCTCAGCAAAAATGTAAGTTTACTACGCACTTCATCCAGAAAACAATTATGTAGGATGCGTTTTTAAAGTGACCAGCCCTTACAGCTTTTTTGGAAGGTTTTTATTTCTAGTATTTAATTCTAACTAAAAGTTCACTAAATGGAAAATCAAGAAAGGAAGAAAATTTTGGAAGTCTTATATACTACCTGCAACAGAAAGAAGACTTTTTGCAAAGTTTCATTAAAATAGCTTTAAAACTTTAAAACGGACATACGGACATGACTAGATCGACTTGCCTGGTGATGCTGATATACATATGTATGTATGTACATACATATACTTAGGGTTGGAAATGTGATTTTCTCTGCCTTGAAAACATTTGACTAAAATTATAATAGGGTATACAAATAAATAAATAAAAAGAAACCCTTACGCTTCGCTTTCGTGACACTGTTCGATCTTGGCTTTCGTCAGTTTCAACTTGTAGATCATTTGCTTGGCCTGCTTGTCGAACTCCCGGACACGATCATCCAGATTCTGGGGTTGCTGTTCATCAAGCGGACTCTTGAGCGTTACGTTTGAATCA